AATAAAAAGGTAAAAATTAAGAAAGTAACAATAGAGTTACAGATCATAAGTTTGTTTAAATAAGAAGGTTTTAAGAGCAGTTTTAAAATTATCAAGGGAAGAAATGTCTCTGACTGAAGATGGGAGTGAATTCCACAGAAAATGTCCAGCAACACTAAAAGAACGATAACCATAACTTTTGAGTTTGTAAGACTTGGAAGACAGTACCAATTGAGAAGACAAACGAAGGCAACGGCGAGAAGGACGATGTTTTTCAAGCATGTCTTGAACATAAATAGGAGCCAGGGCATGAAGAGCTTTGAAAGTCAGAAGGAGAATTTTAAACTTGACACGTGCGGAGACAGGAAGCCAGTGAAGATCGTAGAGGCGTAATGTGGACGCGTTTTTTAGAGAGCATGATAAGACGGACACAGGCATTTTGGACAGCTTGTAGACGATCCATCAGATATTTAGGGAGGCCATATACTAGAGAATTGCAATTGTCAAGTTTTCATGATATAAATGAGTGAACAAGGATTTCCGTAGATTTCTCAGACAGGAATTTTCTGATTCTTGAAATGTTTTGAAGATGATAAAAAGAGGATTTGCAGGTCATTTTGATGTGATTAGCCAAGGACATAGAAGAGTCAAAAAGAACACCAATGTTACGAACACAAGAAGAGGGATGAATTATTTCAGAGCCAAAGCTGATTTCAGGTGAGGRGCTCAATGGACAGTGCTTAGACSRAAAAATAAGAAATTCTGTTTTGTCCTTATTCAGTTTCAGTTTGTTGAGAGTCATCCAGAGATCAAAATCACAGAGGCAAGCTTTAATATTGTTTAAGGCAACATCTAGGGCGTTTTCATCATTACAGGAGAAACGAATGTATATTTGAGTGTCATCAGCATAGAAATGAAGTGACACCTTATGCTTCCGAAGAATATCAGCGACAGGAGAAGTGTAGAGGAGATAGAGAACCGGGCCCAGGATGGAACCTTGAGGAACACCACAACTAAGCGGAAGAGAGTCGGACGAGACATTATCTATTGATACAAATTGATGGCGATTAGAGAGATACGACTTGAACCATTGAAGAGCACTTCCACTGACACTAAACTTATAAATAAATAAATAAATAAATAAATAAATAAATCGACTTTATTTTACGAGGGTAACACGTGACAGTAAAGAACTGATGAACTTGTGGCCCTCAACTCACACTCACTACCTCGACATTAATTATTTTAGCACACAACACTCCTCACATGTTGATTTTTACTGAGGGAGGAAAACCAGAGGACCCGGAGAAAAACCCTCGTGGCAAGGGAGAGAACAACACATCAAACAAACTCAAACTCACATATGGTCCGTGCCCAGGAATCGAACCCGGACCACAGCGGTGAGAGGCCAGTAGCTTAACCACTAGACCACCCTTGCTACCCAACGAAGACGATTTAGAAGAATTGAGTGATCGACGGTATCAAAGGCAGCAGAGAGATCGAGGAACAGCATAGCAACACATTGACGTCTGTCAAGAGATTGAAGAATATCATTAGAAATTCTAAGAAGTGCAGTTTGGCAGCTGTGGTAGGGTCTGTAGGCTGACTGGAAAGGCTCATATAAGTTGTTGAAGGACAAGTAGGCGTTTAATTGATTATGCACCACTTTTTACTTTAGAAACCATTTTTAGGTTAGAAATTGGACGATAGTTCTTGAAAATTTCATGGTTAAGAGAAGGTTTTGAAAGTTTTACTTTGTTCTCGGCCTTGTTATGGTAAAAAAACAAATCGAATTCGCTTTTCTATGGTCTGTACGCTTATCGACAATGAAAATGACGCCAGAAAATGATCAAAACTTGGCAGTGAAACCACTCGCTACGCTTTGTTAACAATCCCTTGATGACATCACAGCATCTGTGCGATAAATTTCAACATCAACAAAATAGAAAATAAAAGTTCTTATATTACATATATGGTTTGCTGCATTAGCAAACTGCTCTTTTATTCATCATTCATTATCAGCTGCTAGCTAGTTAACAATTTTCTGATTGACATTCAGTATTATAGTTTTTTTAAGTAGCAACAGCCTATTGCGTAATTCTTAGTCTTATCAGTCTTATCTCTGGTCTTATGATCCGCCGCTTTCCCCTTGTTAACTCTGGTCTTATGATTCGGCGCTTTCCCCTTGATTTTTCCATAGTCAACTGGGACCAATCTTAACAACGACGTTACCGTCACATATCTCAATACTTGATTATCACTGGCTTTGCAATCCTGATCCATGTTAGCCGAGAAAGTCGTCGTGAAAACCGTCGTGTAGTCCTTATGAAATTCAMCAATGGCTTTACACATAGCAGGGGCTAGTTTAAAGTTGTCCTTCTCTGTGATGCGATACTACGAGAAAATCAAAAGGAACATCATACAATCAATACCCAACAATTAATCAATCTAACCTAACCTACCTAAACTACCTTCATACCAAAAATGTTACCATCACCTTTCTAATATCACACCTATAAGATCCTCGTTAATTCTGATTGGCTGACTGTAGACTTTTGCTAAATATGTGTTAATTTAGATAAACATATCCCGGCATGGTTGTGTACGCCTGCGACTTGCGCCTTGGCATTAAAGTGGGGCTGTCACGGTACGCACATCCTCGAGTAACTGTCGTTCGTAATAGGCGATTTGCATTATGGCGTCATTTACTACAACTACCAGAATGCTTTGCCCACTTTCTTTTGTAATGCAATTAGTGCCAATTGTTTTACTAATCGCTAAGGGGATTATCGCTAAGGGGATTATCTGAATAACAAAGAAAATGCGCAAGGCTTTCTGGTAGTTGTAGTGAAGTTACGCCATCATGCAAATGGCCTATTCAAAAGAACCAAAAAAACGTCTATTTAGCTTTGGCGCGAAAGTGAAGAGTCACGAAATCCCAAATTTTGATTCCAGAATAATAATTTCCGCTATTTGCATTTAATTTTTCGCAAATTCCAGCACATTTATCATTCGGATTGCTAATGGAGAGTCTTGCGAGCAGTACTCCTGAGAGAGTGGTAAGATTTTATCTTGTGAACTGAATAGGCCATTTGCATGATGGCGTAATTTAATCCCCTTGGAGATTAGTAAAACAATTGGCACTAATCGCATAACAAAAGAAAGTTGGCAAAGCATTCTGGTAGTTATATTAAATGACGCCATAATGCAAATCGGCTATTCTTTGGGAGCCATCTATTGCCGTCAAGAAGCGAGAGAAARCTATTTGCTGAATTCTTTAAAAAAWATTACGTCTACACGAAAAAAAASCATAAAGAAATACTTAATTTATTTGAAAATGCAAAAAGGTGAAATAGATGTCCTCCGTAGATCCAAAATTGCAACAGATTCAACTTTCAATCTACTCTCCCGTCTTTAGCAGTCTTTACGGCCCCTAAAATTGTCTGATTGAGCRCATGCGTAGTGGCGTGACAGCCTCACTTTAAAACATTTCCAACAATTGATACAAGCGCTTCATTTTCTTTAATCTTTCTTGAACTGTGGAATTTCCTCTACATATCTAGCTAACTACCTTATTAACTTTCCTATAACAGCATAATCAAGGAATTCTATCTGTGAGCTGAGAATCAAAACCCATTGGCTAATAATTAATCTTCACATCAAAATAACGTCTGTATTGAATGATTAGATATGTGAGTGAATCACTATTTATATCAAAATTTCTATTTCTTTATTTTTGAATGATTGCTAGTTACTCTAATCACAAGCCCCCAATAATTCCTGTGTACGCCGTTAATACTGTACTGGAATGTAAATAAGTCTTACCTGGAGAACCTGCGCATTTGCCTGGAAAGCACAGGTTAACCCAAGAATGAAAAGAGCGATCTGAAGGGGTGTTCCAAACTTCATTTCGCAGCTTGCTTTCTGGATCTAAACTGAGGACCTAAAATAAGAGAAAGACATTGAGCAATTATTTTTAAGGTAATAAATTGTATTGTCTTAAAAATGATACCCATGATACACAATTCTTGCGTTTTATGCTGATACGCCGATAGACTGCGTAGCGCCATTAGGGAAGGGGGTAAATAGAATAACGGAGAAGAAGGGCGGTTGGGGAAGTAGGGAAAAAATACAGACTCCAGACCCCACTGCCCTTTCGTTTTTCCCTTCCCCTCTCCCCTAGAGCCGCTACGCAGGCTACTGATGCGCCAGATTCGAGATCTTATTTACGCAAGTACGCAGCCTTAACTTCTAAAATGTGTAATATCATAAATAACTATTGCCATGTATTGCATAAAGCGCGCATTGTTTGGTTGAAATGTGCTTAAAACCGTGTTTCCTTGTATGAAACTTTYAGGTCGTGATTCAAAACCTTTCTCGTGTCACCCAAAAATCCCTTGAGTTTCTAAAAGAGAATGACAACACAGAAAAAATCTAATTTTCTGGATARAATTTTAGTTGCCATTGAGGCTATGGATTTTTAAAACAGATTTTGAAGCAAGAGGATTCACAGTGAAAATAATGTTTAAGACTACGTACAATAAACAGCAAAATTGTTCAAATGAACTGCACGAATATCAAAGAAGGTTCTCTAA